TTGGTCCACCCACTGTCTTTAGGAGCAAAGAGAGGTGACAGAAGGCACTCAAGTTTACTGTGTGGCTCCTCGAGGCCAGGCCTGCTTGTGGGCTCTCGGTGTCTCAGGGACCTCAGGTTTCTGGATATTTCCCTAGGACCTGTGCTCAGGAAGGTCTTCCCGTGGCACGCTCTCCCACATCCTCTCCTTCCTGTGCAGTGTACGGGGGAAGGACACAGGGCTGGTGTAGCCCTTGCTCACTCTCTGTTGCCCCTGCTGCTCTGTGAACTGTCTGCCCACCCAGCGCCCGTCCCCAGCACCCGCACGGTGCCTCCGAGACCCTGCAGCATGCCTCAGGTGTCTCGGGCCTGCGGCGATGGGACAGGTCCCAGCATGGGGCAGTCTTATTCCATCTGCCTCTGCTGGGTCTGTGGTTCCCCTCTTGTGGGAGATGAGAGACTCAACCACCATCCACAGAGTTTAAGAATGACCTTTACTGAGATCTTGTAAAATTCTCCTTTTTGTATTTTAACCAAGATTAGCGTAGACTTCACTATTCTCATTAAGACTTCACTGTTCTCATTAAACTTAGGAGGCCCGCCTTTGGAGCAGTTGGAAAAGAAGCCCAAGTCACGTGTAGTTAGTTACACCTCTTCTTACTGTGCCCTTGACTTCCATGGCTGGGTTTGGGCCAAACTCGGGGTCCTGTTGGCCAGCAGAGGAGTATTTGGAGCTGACAGCACTGCCTGTGCCTCCACCGTCATTGCTGCAGAGCCCCTGGTCCTGCTCCCATATATGTAGGCGCTAGTTTCTGTATTGGTGCTGCTCAGTCCCCGACAAGCGTGTGGGGCTCACATAATGCACTTAACGCCAGGTTCACAGGCCCACCCTACAGCTCCTCCAAGCAGGCCCCAGATCACCTCTTCACCCTGGGCAAGATGGCCTTGGTCCAGCAAGCGTATCGTGGAGTAATGTGTCCTCCTGTGTTCACAAGCTGGCATTTTTTCCTCCCTGCTCCCCCATCTCCATGAAAGCTTCGAAGTGAAACTGTACATACGTATATACGCGTGCTGCTTAGTTATCAAGTCTTGTTGCTAGGTAACTGGTGGCTGTCAGTCATTTTGACATTCTGCTGGTAACTCTATCCATCTCAATTTCATCAAGTATAAAATGGTTGGAGCACTTTCTGGGCCAGTCACTGAATACAGTCAGTTTGTAAATGATTGCCCTGAGGTTGCCTTCTTCATGCACTTTATCTCACAAATCAGGTTTATCGAGCCCTGCGGTGAAGTTTCTTTAGATCTCTGTTTAAGAACCTCACAAAGATTTTCTTCCCCTGAAATGTTTCTAAAGTAAGAGGTTCCATGGCAGTATAGTACAGGCTCTTCTGGAAGACGGTGTCAGAAGCAAGTGTGCCTCTGGTCCTGCACTGGAGGAGTCAGCGCAGTAACTAGCTGAGAGGTTTGAACTTGACTCTGTAGGTCTTGGGGCACCACGAAAGGAATTTAAGGGAAGGGTGGGTTTGCATTTTGAGAAATACCGGTTGGCCACAGCATGAGGACTGAAATAGAGGGAGATGAGACTGAAGAAAGAGGAGGCGGTCAGAGACAAGGTGAAAAGTGGTGACAGCCACTGCGGGCGGTCAGGGGGGTCAAGGAGCGTCT